TTCTTTCTTTCTTTCTTTCTTTCTTTCTTTCTTTCTTTCTCTGGCAAAATAGTTCTCAGAGGCACCTGTGAAAACAGTTTGTGCCTTTGGTTTTTTATCAGTTTCTGTAAACAAGTTGCAAACCCTTCAGCTGCAGAGTTAGTGAAGTCAAATAAAGAAAGAGATAAGTTCTTTCAAAAAAACCCTCTGACTGGCAGTTAATTTTCACCTTCTGTAGGAAACAAAGTTCTTTAGATTGCTTTTAGTGTGATTTAATAACAAGTATTAGGAAAAACTGTTAAAATAAAAAGGAAGGTTTTAATCCAAAAGTCAAAAAATAAGCAACAAGAAGCAGAAGAAAAAAAATCAATCCATTCACTTTAAGAGGAGAAATGGAGAATGTGACGGACATTTCAATCCACAAAAAATAGTTACAATGACAAAGGAAAAAAAAAACTTTTCACAGTGATCCCATTAGGATTATTTTTGCAGCTCAGTTCTTTTGTTTAAGGATCAATTTGGCTTTAAGGAAACATTTCTTTGGGCAGTCTTTAGCAAAGTAGAAAAAATATCTCACCAGATGGACTCACTTTCTCTTTTTCCTTCCTTCCTTCTGGAGCGTCCCGACTACATCAGCCTAGGGGCTGCCTGTTCACCGCAGGCTTGAAGCACTTCCCTTGGGTCTAACAGGATTTTGCGATATCCCTAAGACAAGCAAAGCTTTGTCTTCCTGATCACCATCTCTACGGGACGGTTTAGGTCTCAATGGACCCCCCCCCCAGCGGCAAAAGTGTCAACAGCGGTCTCAGAGTGTCGAGACAGCACGTTGTAACATCACGATGTGGCTCCTCCTCTCCATGTGCTAGTTTTCTTCATTCAGAAAACTTTTTTATTTAGGAAAGTACTTAAAAAACTTACCATGTGTAGTAGGCAAAACACTCAAGTTCTCTATTTCTGCTTATTCTTATCTTTATATATACATCCAACTAGTAAGAGTTATCTAGCCATGTTGTCTTCTTTTAAAAATGAGTTTTTATTTTAGGTGTAGTATTTACTATGTTTAACTGAAGCTTAACATGGATTAAACTCATTTAGTATTTGTTAACATTGCTACATTTTTTTTAGAATGATAAATGTAAAATGCTGCCCCTGTTGTTCTACCTTAGGAAAAAATTATCAAGATGGCTGCAAAAACCTCTATATCATTATAGATGAAGGTTCTAGATCTAGATGAAAGAGGATCAGCAACCAGCTTTGTAGCATCTTCTTCCCTCAGACTAGTTAGATCCAATTTGCTCTGTTCTCAAAAGATTTGGTTTATAAAGAAAAATGGGACCATTTATTTATTTATTATTAATTGATTTTTTAAGTGATCATTATTTTGTTATTGGAAACAGCAAACATTCCTCTGCTCATAGGAAATATTAGATTCCATCCAAAACAATAGAAAAACAAAACAGCCACGGTATATACTTATATCTACGTTTTGAAATTGTTTAGTGTTGGCACTGAGGATTAAGTAGATAAAGCAAGACTAAGTTTTGAGTTAATTTTTCCAGTACATGTATTATTCTAAGTAGCCATTATCCTTGATTTCATGTCACATGAATTACTTTATTAATAGTTAGTGCCTTATTTTCTCCTTTGCAGATTTGAAATTGAAATCGAGCCATTATTTGTAACCTTAGCTCTTTATGATATAAGAGAAAGGAAAAAGGTAAGAGTGTAGCAGCACTATTTTCATTTAAATGCAGTGTTTAATATTTTGCTGAGATCTTGGGTGTTTGCTAAGCTTGGTTTCCTTCTTGCAGAAGTTTCATTGCCAAAGTAGACATCACTGTCATGTTTTGACGCAGGGAGACAGTTTGCTGGTTTTCTATGTGCGATCAGGATTGTTCTGATTTATGTACTGTTTCTCATTAGCCTATCTGAGTTAGTGGGCTGGATTGTTTTCTCTTAAACAGTTCCTGCCTATGGTTAATATTTATTATATTTCACTGTAAAGACTATACACTGGAAGGTTATAGGTAACTTTTAGGCAACAAAATTACCTATAACTTTTTGTTACAGTTAACTTTAGACAAAAGGTTTGGAGTTTTGTTTTCATCTACCCTGGCTGCCAAGATATTGTGCTCCCATTTCCAGGGAAATGGAACAGGATTGAAGCTTCCTTGATAGCCAATGATAATAAAATGTAGATTTATAAATTACACTTTGATCCAAGGGAATGAAAATTCCAGTCTGAATTATTTTATTCCTCCTCATGATTTGAACCAATTATTTTGTTCTACCTCATCTACCGCACATTTTCAACAACTGCCTATAGTTTTGGAAAATATAATTAGCTAATGATTTATGTTATCTGTTTATTCAACACACTTGTAGCCTGTCACAATCAACATGACCCTTAGTAGATTGCAGTGCTGTATATAACACAAAATAAGCAAGGAGTGTAGCAATTTTTAGAATTTGCCTTTTAGTCATTTCTTATTTATTCATCAATTTTTGGATGGTAGGTAAGTGGGAGATTCTATATATTCTTTTATTGGACAGGCAATCTTGCTTATAACTGCCTAATAATCCCTTGAATGGTAAGTTAAGATTAGAAATTGTATCATAATTTTAAAATGCATGGTCCTGCTGTTTCCTAAGCCACAACATTCATGGATTCAAGCAATTAGCTCTGCATTTTAAGGTTTGACCATGGTATATAGTGTAATCATTACAGCTTTTGTTATGACAATATTGTAGAATGCATGCTGTAAATGACATGGAATGCACCTTCTCTTTCATTCTATTTTTTTAAAGATCTCTGAAAGTTTTCATTGTGATTTGAACTCTGAACAATTTAAAGGGTTTTTGCGATCCCATACACCATGTATTGACTCCTCCACTCAGGCAAGGGCTGCTGTATTTTCGGTAACATATCCTTCATCAGATATCTATCTTGTGCTGAAGGTGAGTCACATTATTTGTATTCTTACTTTCTGACTTGAGCCAGACAGAATTGACTGTAATGGAAGCAAGCAAGACAGCATATACCAACATTGACCAGCCTAGTGCACTTTGGTGGTGATAGTCCACAGTTCTTTTTATTTCTAGGCAATGTAGCATTGATTATCCTGGATAAAACTATTATTAAATTTTTGTTGTTGTTAATTAGATTCTTTATTTTTTGTAGATTGAAAAAGTCCTTCAGCAAGGAGAAATTGGAGATTGTGCAGAACCCTACATCTTTCTAAAAGAAAGTGAAAGTGGAAAGGTAGATATCATAGTTTTTAACGGGAACTGCAAAACTATTACCCTGATAATAGGGATATTTATGTAGCCATCTTTCTCTATTCTTGACATTTGAAGTGTTATTTCAAGGTATAGTTTTTCTTCCCATGTCTTGAAATGTACATAATCAGAAAGTCCAAGACTGATCTTATCACACAATTTTTATTCTACAAGTATAGCAGCCTTAGAGGATAATATGTGTCCTAAAATGTAAGCTTGTACTCTCCAAAAATTGAAAAATTAGCATAAAGTACAGGTAATCCTTGACTAATGACCACAATTGAGCCCAAAAATTCCATTGCTAAACAAGATAGTTAAATTAATTAAATTAATCTCATCTGATGATGTAAAATCTGGGATACCAGATTTAAATTTCGTAAATAAATCTCTGGTTTCTCATTCGATTGTTACTCTCAGTTTCTTTGCACTGATATTTTAAACATAACACCTAACTTCTGCCTACTGTTTATTGAATGAGGCTTTAGTTAACTAGATTTGTTTCTGACTCTGTTGGCTTTTGTTTTAATTCTGCAAAAAAAAGTATATTATGACTGCCATGACAGCATGTTAGGTCATGTCTTTTCTGTTTAATCAATTTTTATGATTTTGACCAGCATATATTTTTCTGCCTATTTTTTTAGACTAAAGAAAAGATTGAGAAATTAAAACAACAAGCAGAGAACTTTTGTCAACGTTTAGGAAAATACCGCATGCCTTTTGCTTGGATACCTATAAATTTAGCAAGTTTCTTTAGTATTCCAACACTTGAGAAAGATATAGCTGAGTTAGAAGTTTTAAATGGTAAGTTTAAATATGATTGTGTATATATCTTGTAATTCATCCTCGATACTGTAATTAACTATTTTCTACGAACTGTAGAAACACATAAAATGCCATTGTTTCTATTCTACTTTATAAAGAAAATGTCTACCCTCTCTTAATTATGTAATTTTATAACAGTACTAATGTGGACACATACTGAACAAAAATTGAAGGATATCCTTAACTAGCTAGCTAGTTAAACAAGTTTAATCAGTAGTGTTGGGCATGGAAGCTAATCCTCATAATTGATGGACAACTAAAAAAATATATCTTCATGGTGTTTTGTTTCTACCATAATATATTATACTCTATATTATTAAAGAGTTGGATCCAAAGATTTTCTTTTGCTGATCCAAAGATCCTTGCTCTGGAAATAATAGTTAAATTGCAGGAAGACTCCTACTACTACCTCATCCTGTTGCCTTATTAAAAGAATAATCTTTGAACATGCATTTGTGATAAGAAAAAAGGATGTGTTTATTGGCAATATACTTTATACTGTATTAAGTCATCACAGTAGCATCTTCAACATTCTAGCATACAAACTAATTATTAATCCTGTAAGAGGTTGAGCAAATTACCAGGTTCATCCCTTGTTTTCATTTAAAATAGCAGTATATCCTACAGGTTTGTTGCATAAGTGAGATCACAGATAGTCCTCAACCTACGACCAAAATTGAGTCCAAAATTTCTTTGTTAAGTGAGACATTTGTTAAATAAATTTTGCTCCATTTTATGGTTTTTCTTGCCACAGCTGTTAAATGATTCACTGCAGTTGCTAAGTTAGTAACCCAGATGTTAAGTAAATCTGGCTTTCCCCATTGAATTTGCTTATTAGAAGGTAACAAAAGATGTTCACATGACCTTGGGACATAGCAAAGATCATAAATATGAGTCAGTTGCCAAGCATTTGAATTTTGATAACATGATCATGGGTATGCTGCAAAGGTCATAACTGTGAAAAATGGTCATAAGTCACATTTGTCAGTGCTATTGTAACTGAATGGTCACAGAATGAATTGTTGTAAGTTGAAGATTACCTGTAATGAGATTCACACACACACACACACACACACACACACACACACACACGTATATGAATATGTATATACCCAGAGTAACTTAACAATGTATGGTAAATTAACACCTGCCATGATTCACTTAACAACTCTAGCAAGAAAAGTCATACACTGGAGCAAAACTCACTTAAGAAATGTCTCACTTAGCAACAACTATTTTGGGCTCAATTGTGACTGTAGGTTGAGGACTACCTATAATTAATTTTTTGAAATAGTTCAATGTAGTAATAGGTATGATTGCCTTTTTCATTAAGCCAAATAAAATCCAATTAAATTTTTACATTTGAAGGAAAAGGGTCTTGTGGCGATCGAAAAATGTTGACACTGCCATGTAGAAGATTTTCTGAAAGAAGCCTTGGCTCAGATGACATTCCTGGCCCAGTGAACTTCAGAACCACCACTCTAACTCTCAACACATTTTTTAAACAGGTACAGTACGCTGTTGGGAAGTTCTTCCACATGAGTAATTCCAAGCGCCACTCATTCCTTGTTGTGGTAGTATAAAGGGGTTCTAAGTACTGGTCTGTCCATATTGCTACTATTGTCCTGATTTATAGACTTATAACTTTTGTAAAAATAGATTGATAAGGTAGAACAGAGGTCCCCTGGGTTCCAGAGATCAATTCTATGGAGAGAGGTTTTTCCATTTCATGGATAGGCTTCGTTTGTTTGCATGGACCGGTTGCTGGCATACCGGGCCCAGTGCTAGTCCACGGACTGGGGTTTGGGGACCCCTGTTCTAGAATGTTGGCTAATCAGAAATTGGGCAAAGTTTTTTAATGAGGATGAGGATGATTCCTAATTGGCAAAAATATATGAGAGTCTATGGTCATCTCTAGATTAGTGGTCCTGCCTTTCACAGAATAAATCGATTACATGGGGAAAAAATAAGCTTTGGTTATACTGTTATAGTCAGCAAGGAATACTGCCCAAATATAGCACAAATTTACCTAACTTTCTAAAATGTATAATAAAACCTTGATTGATTAATGTTATGATGGACTGCAGAGGCCAGTACTTTGAAAGATTATAATCTGGAATATAAAAGGAGAAAATGATAAAAGATGGAAAGAAGGTGGACTATGTTGTGGAGTTGGTGAATACATTCAGGAAAGGGAAGGGAGGATACAGATTAAATAATCAGAGATGATTGCAAAAATGTGAATTGCTGTGATATCATCTAAATGGTTGTCAGTACATATGAAAGTAGAAATTAGGTTGCATTAGGTTGGCAGAAAGTTGCAAATGGTGATCATGTGACTGTGTGATCCTAACAATGGCAACTGGACTGCTGGAACTGCCATTGTAGTTCAGCACAGTCATGTGATTTCATATATTATGATTGTGTCACTAAGTGATGGAATTCCTGGTACCAATTACCATTGGTAAGCAAGCACTATCTGTACATAAATATCTGGACTGTGGAGCAACCTAATTGGTATTTGTGGGCATCTACTCAGAAAAAAAAAGACTATTTAAAAACATGGTTTAAACATACTTTTTTTCATCCAAATGTGTAAAAAAGAATGAAATTTAATGTAAAAATGTGATTGAATTGTTCATTATAAATGTTTAAGAAAATTAGTGAAGCACAAAAAGTTAATGAAAAGTTCTGAATTTGGGAAAAAATACTTTTTTAAGCCCTGTCAAGAATAGATTTTGGAAAAAAGGATATAGAAAGAAAGGAAAGAAGTAAAAGAAAGCAGAGTAGAAGTAAAACGAGTTCAGGAAGAGAAAATGTGTGTCCTCTATGAAAAATTATTAAAAGATAAATTTATTTTTCAATACAGTACAATAAATGGAAACCAGAAACAAGGAAAGCGACACTGTCAATAAATTTAAGTCATATGATATGTTTTTATATATAGTTAATTATGTAGTTAATTACAAATAAAGATGCAAATTAGTTTTCAGCAGATCATATTCAATATCTTGCTCTTTCCAGGAAGGAGACAGGCTTAGTGATGAAGACTTATTCAAGTTTTTAGCTGACTACAAAAGGTCTTCGTTGCAGAGAAGAACAAAATCTATACCAGGTATGCTTAATATTAATATTAGATACTCATACTTTATAATGGCCAAATCTCACCTATATTTGTATAACCATTTTCCCCAAGAAAAACAATGGCTTATTTATTAAATTTCCTCTGCTCAAATGCTTAATATGAGCAATGTAAGAAGCCAACAAGCAAAGGTAAGGATGAGCTTTTTGCCTGGCCCCAATTGGGTTGTTTCCATTAATAACCTCTGGCTAGGTTTCCTATAAAATATCATTCAAAATTTGCTGTAATATGACTTACCACCACAGAACATTTTATTCTCTGGCCTTGAAAGAGCTAATTACGTTATTGGGAAAATTGAGGACACAGAATTCCAAAATGATTTGAGTCCTGTCACAAACATCTACTGACCTTAAGAAGATACCCAGTGATGCTTTCTTGCAAATAGTTTTAAGTTTACTTATTCTGAATAATATTAGGAATTCTGTAAAGCTCAGTTTAATAAAGCTCTCTTGGCACTTTTAGATAATAGATGTAACGATACCCCTCAAGATAATATGTCATTTAAATCTAGAAAGGTTGAATTGATTAAACATGATGTTTGCATGTTTTATTCACGTGATCTTGATAGAATTCAGATCACATGAAGTGTTAATATCATTTTATAATGCCTTGATAAGACCACACTTGGAATACTGCATTCAGGTTTGATTGCCACGATGTAAAAAAGATGTTGAGACTTTAGAAAGAATGCAGAGCAAAGCAACAAAGTTGACTAGGGGACTGGAGGCTATAACATATAAAGAATGGTTGCTGGAATCAGATGTCTAGTTTAATGAAAAGAAGGACTAGGGGAGACATGATAGCAGTGTTCCAAAATCTCAGGGGTTGCTACAAAGAAGAGGGAGTGAAGCTATTCTCAAAAGGACAAGAAGCAATGGGTGAAAACTAATCAAGGAGAGAAGTAACCTAGAACTAAGAGATTTCCTGACAGATAGAAGAATTAATCAGTGGAACAACTTGCCTCCAGAAGCTGTGAATGCCCCAATACTGGAAGATTTTAAGAAGAGATTGGACAGCTATTTGTCTGAAATGGTATAGAATTTTCTGCCTGAGCAGGAGGTTGGACTAGAAGAGCTCTAAGGTCCCCTCCAACTCTATTATTCTGTTCTGTTTATTCTGATTTTAAGTCAAGCTTAATTCAGCCCTCAGTGATAATAAAAACACATACCAGGCCATTTCATATATATAAATAACTTTTATATTAAACATTTTCTGCATATGTAGTCACATAATTTTGCGTTTTAGCAAAAGGAACTTGCTGGACTATGGCATTTTTTTAATGACTGAGGTGAAGTAAATTGCAATGTTTTTAAGTTTGGTTTATGTGGTTTGCATTTTTGTGTGACTCTGACTTAAGACCATAATAAACGACTTCTATATCAGCCAAAACCAATATTAGTTCTGCATTTTCTTTCTCAGTGTAGCCAAATGGATGTTTTGGGGATGCTTATACTGTAAGTAGGTGCTGAAGATGTAACCCCCTCCTTATTATCCAGCAACTAGTATTTAGATACACACTGCCTCCATCCTAGAGATAGCACTGAGTGGTCAATGACTTGTTCTTTGTGATTTTATCTAATCTCTTTTAAAGATATCCAGGTGTCTTTGTCTTGTAGTAGTGAAGACATTGGACCCTTATAATGGAGAATTCCCATGAGGAGTCTTGCCTTCCCCAAGGGGCTTCTCTTAGACACATTTCTCTTAGAGTAAACATGCCCTCCTATTACAGATTAACACATCCTGGCCATATTTACCCTGAGATTTTTCTGTTCTTTCCCGCTTAGATGGAAGGGATGAACCTGTTCTCATACACTTGTGCTCATATGAATTTTAATGCAAGCTAAATATTCTGTGAAGGGTCAAATAACAAGCTTTTGTTCTGTCAGATGACTTGGGATATATACTGGTACATTCTAGGCCATATGTGAAGCAGGCTTGTTAGATTAGGAATTTTCTTATGGCTTTTGTACTTTTAATGTACCACATCACTTTTACTAATTTTTCTAAGGTTTGCTTAAATTGGAGATATCCCCTGCATCAGAAGGCCTCAACTGTTGTCTCAGCCCAGAACTGTTACAAGTAAAGCCATTAACTGAGAATCGCAGCCGTATTCATAAAGAGATTTTGGAGTTTCCAGTACGAGAAGTCTATGTGCCCTATACTGTATATAGGTAAGATATCTTGCTGAATTAGGAGACTCGGGTATAAATCAAAACAGATGGAAATAGTTTTGTTATCTGGATTTTCATGAATAAATCAGATTATTGAAAACATGTCTTGTCTGTATTTACCTTGGAAAATAGAAAAAACAGCTGCTAGAGAACTATTGTAACGATACCGGTAATTATTTTGTATTTTTTCTGCAGCTTTCCCTTCATAGGTACCTTTGACATCAATAGCTAACACTATTTTTTCCATGGTAGGAACTAGACTGTGGAACAGCTTGCCTCTAGAACTGAGGCTGGCCTTCCCATGACAGTTTCTGTTTTACCCATTCAAATTAGAGTTTTTATGATGGTGTGTTTGATGGTTAGTATAAATTTTACTATGTAAGAATTTTTCTAGGATGCTACAGCTACAGTAATTGGAGTCTTCTACACTGTACATGTTAAAATAAATACAGAAACAAATATATACATAACAGGAACTGGCAAGGAAGAGCTTTTTATTGGTTCTCTAAATTATTATGCTTCTTTTACCCTACTAATTGGGATATTATGAGAGATTCTTTTCTGTATCTTCCAAGGTATTGAGGAAGGTAACGGAAGAAAGGGAATTCTAAATGGTGGTCTGATTATTATGGAATAATATCACACTGAAGTTTAGTTACTTCTTGTGTTTAAGCAGCAAAGATTGTTGTTTATTTTTCAAATGTTTGAAAAAAGTGTGCCCCTTTTAATCAGTTCAAAATAAAAGTATAATGCTTTTTCACAGAATTGTTTCTGTCGCTTTTACTGTTTGGCTTTCTAGGCTTTCAACTTATGATTTAAGCAGTATTTATAAGTTGAAATTCTTTTGTTCTTTTATTCAGAGCAGCAGCCAATTAGCCATGCTGTTTCCTAGGATTTCCTATTCCTCTTCTCCCCCAGAATTACACAGAACGATTTCTGAATATGCTTAGCCCTGATTGGATTGCTCTCATTAAAATGAAAAGAAAAAACCATTCTGCACGAGTACTTCTATAGATTTGTAGTTTTCTTAAATTCACTGATTCTACTGAATCCTGCTCTGACCACTTAGTCATTGTGGTCAAGGCTTGGTTGGAAAGCAGAAAGTACTTTTCCTGAAACATAGATAATGGGAAATGACAAAAATGGTAAATTAGAACTCAGTCTATATTCCCTTTACCAACTTTGGAAATGGCTGTAGTCTCAGTAGCTATGGCATGATTTGGGTCTGTGCCAAGTAGTCCCTCCTGGTCCTTCCTCTTTCTGTTTCCTGCTGAAATTCAGTGGAAAATAAAAATAAAAACCAAGATCTAGTCTGAAGGGATCTTTTTTAAAAATTTATCCTAAGCCATTATTTTTCCTAGCTAGAAAAAACATACAGGGAGTCTTCGGTAGCTATATCCTTCACTATGTCATGAAATGAAAGTTAGCAGAGCAGGAAGAAATGGAAGAACCAGCAATATCAGAATTATACTAGTCTGCTTTAGGAGTTTAGGAAATAATTCAGAAAGTTCTTTAGAAATGCTCTAGAAATAGAGACTTGAATAGGCTTACTCATTTCCTAATAAATATGTATCTGTGCGTGCATGTGCGTGCGTCAGAGGTGGGTTCCTACCAGTTCGCACCAGTTCAGTAGAACCGGTTCGTCAAATCTACTGAACCGGTTAGAAGAGGTTCCACCAGAAAGCAGGCCACAC